TCTCTCTCTCTCTCTCTCTCTCTCTCTCTCTCTCTGTGCATCTTTTTTCTGTGCCCTTCTCGGTGTCTATCACGGTGCAGGTCAGTATGGCTACTGTAGCACCATGTTTGTATGGCTACTATGCCACCATCTTTGTATGGCTACTATGGCACCATCTTTGTTTGTGTGATTCGGGAGAGCGGGGAGAGCGGGGAGAGCGGAGAGTGGGGGGAAGGAAAGATGGGCGGATCTTTGTGGGTGTGTTGCTGCCCGTTCGCCTAAGTTCAGGGGAAAAAAAACTATTGGGGAGCAACCGTCTCGAGCATCTATGGAACGCCTAACTGTAACAGTGTGGAATACGATCCTGCTCCTCCCATCCTCCCTCTTCCAAGAGTGTGCCGTCCATCCCTACCAGTATGTCTGTTTCGTCTTCGCTCTGCCCAGTTTGTTCTTTTTCTTTCCTCACGTGCCATTTGTTTTCGTTTTTTGTTTTTCAACATCACGTGCCATTTTGCATAGGCGCATGCAGCCACCCACGAGGAGGGCAGCCTGAAGTCGACAGTCACCGGGGGCTAGGTCCCATTTACACGACTTAATAAGCGATATTGACCGTCGATAGCAAAGATCAACGGCCAGATTCCCGTAATCCGTGCAAGTGGGACCTTGCCCCGGCGTGCGGCGAGGCCCTTCTTATTCTTTATCTCACGCGGTTTCCATTTTGGGGGCCTCTGGTCGATACGGTGTTATGCGGCAGCTACGTACCGGCTTCTTTTGAGGTCCCACACCCACCCGGGGACGAGGTCCCACTAGCAAAGAGGGTCGATAGAGCTCCTGAATCAGGATGTGTTTTTATCAGAGATGCAGAAAAGTAGATCAATGTCTACTTTCTGCACCTTTTCGCAAACACGTCCAGATTCGGGCATTCAATCCGATCCTCTTTTCTAGTACGACCTCTTCCGGGGGGGGCCTCTGGTAGATCAGGAGGTGCTATCGGCAACAAGGTACCTGCCTCGTTTGAGGTCCCACACCTGGGCCACGCTCCCACCACCGTCTTCCCCTGAACATTATGCACCCTCATTCTTTTTTTTTCTTTTTTGAGTTTATGCACCCTCATTCTGCCTGTACCCCACCTGAAACATAGCTTGCATGCATTCATTATCAGGGTGCGTTGTATTCAGGGGAAGAGGGCAGCCACCACCACTACCTCCCACCCTGTCTTTTGCCGAGCCTGAATTTCACTGTGCACCCAGTTCTGCCACTGTGCACCCAGTTCTGCCAAGCCCGGGCAGTTGCAGCCAAAAAAGAACAAGAAAAAATAAGAAATTTTTGAAATGCCCCTCTAATATCCATTTATTTGAGGTATGCCCCTCTGACGGCCAACTAGCCCTGTCACGCCCCTCTGACAACGATTGAAGCTTCTGAAAAACCCCTGGTGTCGTGTCTTTTGGGCCTGGAATACGTTCAATTTTATATAATATATATATATTTTTGGGAGAATATGTTCAATATGTCCCGACCGGCTCCAAACTTCCCGTATGCAAAAAAAAAAAAAAAAAAACCCTTCCTAGCTCCCATCCCAGGACCAGGACCAGGGGAATGGCCACGAGTGCCACCAACGGCCACAGGGGCATGCTGGAAAGTTCCACCCCTCACTGACAGGGCCTGCAGGAAACGTCAGAGGCCCCAGGGGCACAACAGGGTAAGTCGGCCGTTGGAGTGGCATACCGCAAATAAATGCGGGCCGCAGGGACATTTCGAAAAAAAATCAAAAAAGAAAAGAAGAAGAACGAGAAAAAAAAAACATTCTCTAATGCCATGATAACCATCAAATACATTCTATGAGGTGCTACCTTCTTCCCCCGAACACAATGTACGGTCATTATAGCTGTATTTGAGGGATCTTTCAGTCTAGATACGGCTATGATGACCCTGTGTCCAGTGAACAACAGATAGTGCTGGTCACACTGAGGTAGGATAGTAGGGACAGGGGGTGCGCTGGGAGTACTAACGTGGGGATGGGTAGGGTAGGTGGCCGATCCTATGTATCACCCATGGTCATGACCGCAGACCTTTTTACCGCATGGGGTCGGGATCCCGACCACGGGGAACGACCGCCCGCAGCCGAGTGCGGGCAAGAACCCCCGACAATTGTTTCGGGGCCTAAAAATGGGCAAAAATAAAATTGAAAAATATGGGCGTGTAGATTACAAAAAACTCTACACGCCCGTGATTTTTGAGAAAATTTTGTAACATTTTAAGGAAGGGAAAAAAATAAAAATAAAGAACATTGAAATTAAAAAATAATAATATTATTTTTTAATTTCAATGTTCTTTATTTATTTATTTTTATAATAAAACCCCTGATGATTTTTTTTTTTTTTTTTTTTAGTTTGTTGGGCCGGTGGAGAAACACTGCCCCACACACACACAAACGCACACACAATCAATCAATCAATCAATCAATCAATCAATGAACCAATCGCAATCAATCAATCAATCAATCAATCAATCAATCAATCAATCAATCAAATTCGATTGATTGTGTGTGTGTGTGTGTGTGTGTGTGTGTGTGTGTGTGTGTGTGTTTGTGTGTGTGTGGCGGATAATTAAAACATAACCCCAGCGACCAAGCCTCACACCAGACGACCTTTCCCAAAACAATAACACATCGCAAGACTAGAGGCGGCAGAACAAAAGCACGGCGTTCAGACGCGAATGCCATCGTACACAGGGACTCAGACGAGAATGCCATCCTCAAGGCGAGAGCTCAGCCTGACGGTTGAGAGAGAAAGGTTGAGTCCAAAAGAACAACTGACAAACAACAGTGAGGAAAGAGGCAAGGGACACAACAGTTGATGAGAAGAAATGGCAAGTTCACAACAAAGAGCAAGGGCTGGAGGGCATGGGGGAGGCGGGTGGGCAGACAGACAATACACAGTGCCCAAAACACAACTAACATGCCAAAAAAAACATAGCAAACACCAAGCACAACAACCCAAAGAAAGTAAGTATCAAAACATGCAACACCGAAAAAAATAAAACTGATGATAGATTGTATCATCGGAGTTGCACCGACTCATCAGGAGGCTGAACCCTCGACAATCTGCGGAATCTCCGTATTTGATGGTTTGGGTCATGAACCCTTTGACCCTTGTTGAAGGCAGACTGTCCCCAAGCGGAACATAACAACGGGCAGCAACCCTGTGGAGCACCAGGCAACACAGTAGAGGCAACACGGCTGCACAACGCCAATTGAAAAACGACTGCAAGGAACGACATGGCACGCAGGACATGCAGCGCGACAACCATGCAGTGAAGCACAAAGCCACACAAGCAGGGCAACCACACTGCAAGGGACGACAGGGCGAGGGGACCAGCAGCTCGGCAACAGTGGAGCGGAGCACAACGCACCAGCAACAAGGCAACCAACCTACAAGGCACACAAGCAGCAACCACGGAAGTCACGGCCAGCGGATGAGCAGCACAGCAGCCAAGCAGCGAGCGCAAGACAACACCAGCAGCACAGCCACACAACGTAGCGAACACAACAATTCGCAGAGAACCACATACAAAGCAAGTGGGACACGCAGCAGGGCAGCGGTGGAGCGCAGACGAGGACGTCCACACATCCAACATGGAGCAAAGCAGCACATGACCTACTCACATCACGATTGAACCCCGGAGACTGTTGGTTCCCACCACCCACTGAGCCAGGGAGTCACTCCGACAAACATCCGTCATCACCTATAGGCAACACAGACATCCCGAACCGAGCGGCCCCCATAAGAGTGTAGTAGGCACTCCAAACGAGGAACCACCGACTGTTTGACACTACTTAAGGGTGCTCAGTTGAATTAAAAAAAATACTCAGAAAAAGATCAGAGGGAGGACAGACAACAAGTGGAAAACAGACAAACATAAAACTGATTGTGTGTGTGTGTGGGTGGGTGGGTGGGTGGGTGTGGGTGTGTGTGTGTGTGTTGACTTATGTATGGCATGTGAAGATACGATATATCAGTATCTAGCATTTCTCCGACGGTGGAGCGTCGGCGCACCTTGCACCCGAAGGCTGAGCAGGTATGGCATGATACTGTCGTGCGGTAAGCCGAGCATCGTCTGACGCGTGGACATTGATTTCCTGGAGCAACCATTGTTGTCGTGACAATATCATTCATCCCTAACCCTGGAGAGAAGACTGAAGGAAGAGGGAMAAAAAAACTTACGGGGGGGGGGGGGTATTGGTAATAATATATCAAAACAACAAAAGGGGGACACAAAAAAAGGGGAAGGGTGGCCGCCAAACCGCTCCCGGGGTTTTCAGATGCACGCACAGGTCGAGGGAGATCCGTAGTTCGTTCAGCCTCTTAACGGAAGAA